ATATATATATATGTATATGTATATATGTATGTGTGTGTGTGAAACATCAATTTTAGTAGAAATATTATCTCACAGCTAAATATTCCACTTAATGGACTCCACTACATTATTCCAGTTTTATTGGAAACACCTGAGTTTCCCCAATAAATTCTATTCTATTCTATTCTATTCTATTCTATTCTTTTCTTTTCTTTTCATCAAAAGAAAAAACTGTTTCTGCCTCTGTAATTGTTTTTTTTTCCTCAGAGTAAGACCTCTTCTGTTTTTACCTATCTTTTTGAAGACGTCACAGGGAATTTCCAACAGGGAAGGAAATCAAGTCATTTCTTTCTGAGACGAGCTGGTTTTCACCTGGAACACGGTTCCACCTGACTCTGGATTAAACGGTTCTCCTCGCCACGAACCGTCAGGATGTTCWGAACCGAACCGAGGCTGTAAATGGGTCGGCTGGTTCGGCGTGATGGCGAGCAGCTAAACTGAAGCGACGAAGCGGAACGAGTCACTTCATGCTCTGACCAACTGACTTTTACCTGTCTGAGCGAGCTAACCAGGTAACCACCTGCTAACTGCACCGAATGAGCCGCGCAGGAACCGGACACGGTTTTCATTGTGCACTCCGCGTCCGAACTTCACCGTGACCCGTTAGAACCTGACAGCCCGCTTTGTTGTGCTGCTTTACTTCCTTATTAGCCAGCAGGTAACAGAGCCCAGTTCTGTCACGTTGTTCCTGTTTATCAGCGCTCAGAAACAGTCCAGAGATTATTTTAATGTACATTTTATGTTTTTATAATCCAACAGACAATTCGGCGTTCGTTTATTACAAGTTAAGTAATTTATTTGATCAGTTTTTACTGTTATTTGAACTTTGGGCGTTCTTGTTTMTAGTGACATGAATAAAATTACTAAATAGACAAAAAATGAAAATAACTGTTTTGTTGTATTGCATGCCGTAATAACGTCCTTAATTAGTTTAGTGTTACGCTCATAAAAAAATCTTTTGTAGTTTATTGCCTTAATGTGAAAATTTAAAGTAATGTAAAACATCAGATTTGTCTATGTGGTTTGGCATTGATTCTGCGCATAAGTCACCTCCGGGGCTCGTTCCGGTCGCAGCGGGAACAGGCAGCGGTTAGCTGCACCGACAGGACCGCGAAACACGGAGTCCGTTAGGCCGGAGCTCCGCTACCGAACCCGCCGTGGAGATCTTGGTTGTTTGTTTTTGTTTACTAAGTGGCGGTTGTTTTAACGAGATCAATAACAACAGTACGGTGGCGGCGATTAGCCGTTAGCAACGGAGCTAACTGACACACGGGCGCGTTCACAAGCCAGCGTAGCCGCGGGGACGCGCGGCACTCAGGATCAGAAATTAATTTATAGGTGATTAAATCAGAAACAGTCACGATTTGAAGGCAGAATTAAAAACTAATTTATTTGATTAATCTGATAAAGGTGCTTTTAAAAAATAATTTATGTATAAAATGTTAAAGACAAGTTTGATACAATTGTCTGAAAATGAACTCAAACATTGAACATGTCCTGAACTTAATCGGTTATGTTTAAAATGATTTTCTAACTGCAGTTTTGTTTGACCTGCAGACACGATGGCCGGAGACGACCACTACATCCATCCCTCCACCCAGGTGAGCTCACCTGCAGCTCCTCAGGCTCTGAATCTGTTGATGTTTGGAGCAGAGATGATTCAAACTCTGCTGGAGGAAACTGATGTGGAAACACAGGAAAGAGTTCCTTTAAACACTCCTGCTCCGGTTAAAGCCGAAGAAATAAACTGTTCGGTCATTACCAACTAATAAATGTTTACGTTTATTGTAGCAACAAAATTAAGACGTTCTTACCAAAGACAAGACGGCAGCTAAAAGCTAACAAGCAAGACGGCAGCTAAAAGCTAACAAGCAAGACGGCAGCTAAAAGCTTAAATCAGCAAAACAGAACAAAAAGCTTAAACCAGCAAGACAGTAGCTGAAAACTTAAACTGGTAAAATGGCAGCTGAAAGCTATAAAGAGGGAACAAAAACCAGCTGAATGTTTTGGTAGCTGAAAGATTAAATTWGTTAATCATGCAGAATCTACTTTTATTTAAAAGCTGAATTTAGTCTCCAGGAGCTGCAGAGATTCTTTAGATTCTGTTTGGGTTTTGAACCAGTTCAGTTTTCTCTATTGTTTCATATGTTTTCTGAAATATTACGTCAAATTATTTGCAACTGAAATTTTAAATAAGGTTAATAAGGTTACTTAACTACAGTTTGGTGGTGTTCATTGTCCTCTGGCTCTGGATCTGATTCTAGGCCAGTCTCTGGTTGTAGGGTCAAGCTGCAGCCTGAGTGGAGCTGGTTCTGTTTGAGCTGCAGCCGCCTGAGTGGACCTGGTTCTGTAGGGTGGAGCAGAACCAGGTCCTGAGTGGACCTGAGTGGGTCAGAGTTTGGCTGCAGATGATGAAAGCATGTTTCTAAGCAGTTTGTTTTGTTTCCAGATGTTTGACAACATAATGATGGATCCTTCCTGGGAGTTTCAACATTTTACTGCGATGCCTCCAGCGTCTCTGCGAACAGGTGAGTGTTTCTGCTGCAGGAGGGTCTGAGGGTCTGAGGATCTTCAGGTGTTTAGGTCTTTGAGTCTTTAGGTCTTTGGTTCTTTAGGTCTTTGAGTCTTTAGGTCTTTAGGTCTTTGGTTCTTTAAGTCTTTAGGTCTTTGGTTTAGGTCTTTGAGTCTTTAGGTCTTTAGGTCTTTGGTTCTTTAAGTCTTTAGGTCTTTGGTTTAGGTCTTTGAGTCTTTAGGTCTTTAGGTCTTTGGTTCTTTAAGTCTTTAGGTCTTTGGTTTAGGTCTTTGAGTCTTTAGGTCTTTAGGTCTTTGGTTCTTTAAGTCTTTAGGT